GGTCAGAGGCCTGGCCCAGAGGGAGTGGGGAGAAACTGAGGATTCCCACTCTCCCCCACCCTGCAGACACACGGCACAGTTCCCTTGTTTTGTTTTTGAGACTCCAAGCTGCTGATTTTTTTCTCTTTTCCTTTGTCCCTCCTCACTGCACCCAAAACAAAGCTCTTAGGAAATGGACAGCTGCCTTTTGCTTCTTAAGGCAGAACAAAGGAGGCTGAGCGCAAGGATTGAGGTATTTTGGTTCTTATTGAAGAGAGAGTGGCAGGAAAGCTCTCTTGGCGTTTTGCAGCAAGAATTCAATAATTGTGTCTGAGTCAAGAATTCAGGCAGGCAGATATATAACACACACATACCTATGCGCGCACACACACACACACACACACACACGCACGCACACACACACACACATGCACACACACGTATATACCCTAGATCACAAATTCAACATCTTGACTTAGTCGGCAAAATCACTTCTCTGTTTTTAATCTGTTCATGTACTTTAGGGTCAAATTAGCAAGAAGCTAATGGGATCAGTCATTCCTGGAAATGGTGAGATTAGCCATCCTTAACTGAGTACTTTACTTGGTGCCTGGCATTATACTGGACCTCAGGTGATGCAGCTGAGAAACTCTAGTGTCACCTTGCCCTGGTTTGTTTCACATTCAGCCCTGCTTCACGTTTACCCTAACTACTGCAAGCTGAATTTACTTCTCCACGTTTGGCCATTTCCCAGATGGCATCAGTTCATTAATTAATTTATTCATTCATATTCATTTATTCATTCACTCATGCATCTAGTATTTACTGAGTGCCTTCTCTGAGTCAGGCACTGCTGGGCTGTAGACTTACAAAGTCCTGGCCCTCCACGTACTTCTGTTCTTCGGGGGAGATGTGTGCACAGACAACTGCAGTTGAGTTTTGTGGTGCTTGAGGGAAACATAGGATACTATTGGGGCACAGAGGAGAGCCTCCTAACACAGCCAGGGTTGGGGTGGTCAGGGCGGGCTTCCTGGAGGAGATGACTCATGGCTAAGTCATGAAGATGGCATAGGAGTTAGCCAAGCAAAGTGGAAAAGGGCTGTTTCAGACATCTGGGTGTTTTTATATTCTTGGCTTCTCTACCAGTTTTCCAGCCAGCTGCCATAACGGAGAAGACTGAGACCAGCAGGTACAAGCCACCCTACTCTGGTCTCACACCATGCCCCTTCGTCTTCCTTCTTTCTTTCCACTTCCCAAATCTTAGGTTTTGCTTGTTCATTTAGTTAATTCATTCGAAAACGTGTACTGAGAGCCTAGTCTCTGCACGGCATCACGACTGCAGGATTTCTTGGTCGCTGCCATCATGGTGGCCCGTACCCTCTCCTCACCAGCCACAGTGCCTAGAGATTTTTGACTTTTTGTCCTTTTCCAGAACTGGACTTCAGCCTCATTTCCACCATGAAGCAGTTGCAGATAAACCTCATCTTGGTCAGATGCTTTCATTAACTGCCTTCTGGCTTTCTCATTCCTCCTTTTACTTTCTCTGTTTATTTGCCTCTTCATCTCCTTTATCAGCTCCGAAAGTTCCTTGAAGGCAGGGAGTGTGTCCTTATCTTTGCCCTGTACTTCACTGTGGTACAGTGGTAAAGTTGAGTGAAAGAACCTTGCCAGTAACAAAATTATCACCATTTATTGAGTGGCTACCATGTGCCAGTTGCTTACTGTTCATACTTTACATATAAAAATATCTCTAATCCTCATATCTTTGAAAGGTAGATACTGCTATCTTCATAGGTAATACTGGTAATGTCATAGGTAAGATAATTTGGGCTCAGAAAGTCAAAGTGACTTTCTCAAAGCAACACAGCTAATAAGCAGCAGAGTCCATAATCAAAATTAAGTTTTCTGGTCTTGAACCTCTAATCTTTCCACCACACGTTGTTTCTCAAATTTGGTTGCAATTACCCAGGAAGTTTTAAAAAAAAATTCTAGTGCCTGGGTCTTACCCGCAGTGATTCTGATTAGTTGTTTGGGGGTGTGGCCTGAGCATTAGAGTTTTTTTTTTCTTTTTTTACAGTGCCCGGGCAAGTCTAATGAGCAGCTAAGGTTAAGGTTGAGAACCAGTACACCACACCACACTGCCTTACTGTGTCCACACTGGTTGTAGGTGGTGGCGGCGGTATGTGATCTAAGCCACGTGTGCATGTATCCATGTGATCAGACTGCACGTTTTTTGTAGCCAGGGTTCCTCCCTGCCGCTTCCCCACCCAGCGATCCTACCACACCATGCACATGCGCTGCCAAGGGTTGTTGACTGTTTAATCAGCCTCTTGGTTCTTCTGTCTTGTCCAGGGGATTCACTGATAGGCGGTTGGAGTTTGAGCACATCCAGCTGTTCTCCTTCTCCGGGCCTGTTGACATAGCAGAGGAGTCTTATAAACACACTGAGCACACTTCCTGGTCTCCAGAGTGTAGCTGCATGACCTGGACCCACTGCAAGTGTGGCCTGGGCCGGCCTCCCACACTCCTACAGCCCTGCTCTGGAGGGAAAGGGCTGCTCTGAAGTTCCCTAGTACATGGCTGAGTACTGCTCAGGGGGAATTTGTAGCCTACCTGGTCAGTGAGGGTCCCCTTATATGTATATTCTGTTCTGTCAAGGACTCAGAGAAGTCATTTTTTACCCTCATTTTACAAGTAAGGCAACTGAGGCAAAGCTAAGTGAAATGACCTGGCGAATAAATGGGTAGAGAACCCAGGTTTTCTGACTTCTAGTGTAGTACCTTTTCTGTTATTCCAAAAAGGTCAGTCTGGCTTTTCACATCAGGCCTCAACTGAAGCCACCAGCTTTTATACCTTCCTTCCTGTTTACCCCAACCACAGGGGCACTGGGACATCCTGGATGTCACTTTCTGTCCTTGGGAATATAATTCTAGAAACTGGGGCTCCTGTTTAGTTCCAGAGTGTTGCTCAGAGATCGTCCTGACATGCCCAGGCTTTTCCCGGACCTGCTCAGATGAATGGAAATCTCCTGAGATACTACTCTGACACTTCTGGAATCTTCCCAGCCCCAGTCTCATCCCCTAGTATTTATTATTCTGCAATTTATTGACTGAGCAGTAATTCTCTACCAGGCCCTGATCCGGGCACTGGGGATACAGTGGTAAAACACATATTCTGTGTTCCAGAGGCACAGCCTAGTAGGCACCATATACAAGTAAACTATGGTCCCCAGGCCCCCTGGGTGATAAAATGTAGATTCGTAGGTCCTACTGTAGACTCACTATTTCAAAATCTCTGGAGACTGGGCCCAAGAAACTGCATTTTAGCATGCTTCCTAAGTGAATCTCAGGTGCCCTGAGGTTTGATGACTCTGGAAGTGAGCCAGATGGTAACAGTATCATGTCACAGGTAATGGGGAGTACTGATTCCGAGGAGGGAAGCTAACTGGGCCTAGGAACAGCTTCATGAGGGTTGTCATGAGGAACAGCTAGGAGCTAGCCAAATGAGGTGCAACTATAGAATCATTTCTCTAGGGAGGTGAATCATGCTTAATTTCTCCTTTGTATAACTATTATTACTCAAGTTTGCTTCAAGCAGAACATACCTGGATCACACAGCACCGATGAGAACCTGGGTGGGCTCTAGGGACCCGCCTTCTTTTGGTCTCTGCACGTGATCACTAAGCTCCCAGGATGGATTCCTGGCCCCGTTAAGCCTCACACTGTAGCCTCTTTTCAAAGCAAACCTTATTTCTCTTGGGGAGATGATTTGAGTTTATAAGGGTGCCCCCTAGAGGTGGGTGAGTGCCTGTGTCTGGAGGCTGCAGCTCTGCAGATGATGACTGCTCAGAAGAGAGGGATAGAGGGGACTCCTCCAGCCACGTGGCCAGGATGGGCTGCTATTATCTTTATTGCAAAGAAGTTGGGTCATAGGAGGGTGAGTAGAAGAAGATGTGGAGAGTCAAATGAAATAGGGGAGGGAAAATGATAGTGTGTCAGAGTGGGCCCCCTGCAGAGCATCTGGTCAGGAACTCCTTGCTTTAGAGATGAAAAAACTGAGGTTCAGAAGGATGACCTAAAACACCCAAGCAACACTCCCACGCATAGCTTCCAACTGTGGGGATTAGAATTCGGGTTTTTGGACCAGTGCTTTTTCTGCTTCACCACACTGCCTCAGAACATGTTTTTTTAATGGGTTGGAGAGCTTATTTAAAGGGATTCTGTAAGAAACCCTTTAGCAATCCAATCATTTAGTAGGACTGATTTTTTTAATGTCTGCTTATGCAGTCTCTTAAGACACAGCAGACCTGGGCACTGGGACTCCATATCGTCTACATTTTGGAACTAAAATGAGACCATGTCTGTGAAAGTACTTTGATACGCTTTATGCTGTACACCAGTGGTTCTCAAAGTGTGATCCCCAGGCCAGGTGCATCAGCATCACCTGGGAGCTTGTTAGAAATACAAATTTTAGGGCCCCACACCTGGTGTACTGAATCAGAAATTCTGGGGATGAGGCCCAGTAATCTGTGTTTTAACAAGCCCTCCGGATGATTCTGATGTACTGCAGTTTGAGAACCACTATTGTGCATCAGGAGGAAATCAGCCCCTGGGGCCTCTGATTTTAGCCATGTGAGATGGCACTGGGGAGAAGGGAGCAGTGGCAGCAGTGTCACAAACCTCAGGTGGGGTGGGTGAGATCATTGAACAGGTTTGGCTTCTTGCTTGAAAAGCAAGAAAAGGCTGCATGTGTATGTGTGTACAGCATCATTGCACCGCTTGAGTCTAGGAGCTCATGGTGAATGTGATTCAACACGTTTTCAGGAAGCAGTCTTTTCATGCCTCTCCTGATGGGCGAAGCTCTCCTAACCTCATTTCTCTGTATGCTGGAGCCAGAAGCTTGTGGGCATCAATTGGTTTAAAACGAGGCAATCAGTAATAATTCTTTTGCTCCACCTGTGCCATCCTGCTGACTTTTTTTGGTTACTTATTAAATGAAAATAAAACATGATTTCTTGATAGATTTGACACTTCAGGACTTCCTGGTACACAATGAAACCTTCTCTGGATTCCTGCATCACAACCTCTCTCTGCCAAGGCCAACTGTGGACAAGATGATGAAGGCGGATATCAGTCTCCACAAGGTACGCGCCACCTTGGGCTGTTTCAGTGGGGCTGATGGCAATTACATTGTTCGAGTGCATGGAGGGAAACGAATAAAGCCCTGTCTTTGCAATGGTGGAAAAGGAGATGGTTGGCTCAAATTCAGCTTCACCTAATTTACTTCTCTGCTAAGGCTGGCATTGCCAAACCATTTAGAGTGTGGAACGTACAACCTGGCGTCGTGGGCCAGCTGGTTGAGATAAAACTGATTTCCAGCCTGTTAATTGGCATTTGTGATGATTTTACCTTAAAAGGGTCACATTTTACATTAAATTAATTTTTTTTCTGTTTGTCTAGAATTTCACAGTTCGGGAGACAATAACCAGGGCTGAGGATTATTGATCAGGAGTAAATGTGTCTTAAGGTCTAGGACAGGGAATTTTAAAAAAACTTAATGCTTCTTTTAAAGATGGACCGGAGAAAAAAAACTTAAGAAGATTTTTTTTTTTTTTTGTAGTTTTTAAAACTAGGAAGTAATACTAGTGAATGTTCATGTAGAATTCTAACTCTCGATTCTTAGAAAACTTCCTTTGGTGTCATTAGTTATCCCACAGCTCCTGTGCAGTAGGTAGCAGACACAGATTGCGTGGTTATGGATTTCCAGAGAAGCTTCTCAGGTTTCTTCTCTTGCAGAAAGGAAAACTGCTTCCTGACCCTCTCTCATGTCTACATACTAGCTTATCCTTATAATAAGCAGAAATAGAAATGTTTGTGCTTAAAAATAAGGTCTTTGCTTCACATGGTCTAGAATTTTTAAAATTAGAAAGATGTGCTTACTGCTTGCCCTCATGAAACTAGGAAAAGTATGCCTTCTGTTTACTAGTTGTATGGTTGTGAGATGGGCCAAAGGCAGTAGGCTTTGCAAATAGTTACATTTAGCATGATTCCAAAAGCCCCCTGACAATTTTTTTCCTGTCACACTTGATCAGTTTAAAATAAGGGGCATCCTAAGCATGGAGGTGGTTCTTGATGGTAATTAAGAGTTTCTCTGTTGCCAGTGTTCTGAAACATAAACACTGATTGCCTGGCAGCAAGGACTGGAGAAAGGAGTAAAACTAAAGTATACGTGAGTCTCTGGCAGAGGGTGAAAATCTAATGGAAATCATGGTAGGCCAAATGCTCTGTAGTTTTTAGAAAGCTGCATGAATCTTGAGAGGCCTTTGGTCCATCCTTCATGTTAGGTTATGTCACAATCAATTCGAGCTGCACTAATTTAGACTAACCAGGGATATACTAATGGAATAATAAAGAATCTGCATCATTCACTCTTTTATTCAGCAAATACTTACTGTCTATAATGTTCCAGCAACTTTGGGTACAAAGTAGCAAGATTAGCAAGGCCTCTCCTCTTATTGAACTTGCTGTCTAATGGACGGTAAGGACAAGATATGAAGAAGCACAGTTTATTTAGGCCCAGAAGGGCCAATTAAATTAAGTAAGCAAAAGATGACCAAAGAGAGGCTTTCCAGGGGTCTGATTTTATGAACAGGTAATGATTTAGAATTAGCTCATCAATGAAATCAGAAGAGACCTGGCTTCCCAGCACTCTGGTCTGGGGCAAGTGAGATGAAAAGTTCCAAATTCTGAAATTGCTTGAAATAGTTCTTGTGCAGTGGTTAAATATCAACACCTACAGATAAATGTATTTTGTTCATAGTTTAGCCCAGTCTCAGCTTAAGATATCATAAGTTCCACAATAATGAGGGTGTTTTTTCTCTAATAAAATTTGTTCTAGGAGTTCAGACACGGGATTCCTATTAGGTGAATCATGTGTCCCATTTTAGAGAAAAAGAGTTGGATTCAGGATTTCCCTTTGCAATAGTGACAAGAGTGAGAGGGATGACCAGTCAAATACAACATCCAGGTTTGAAATGACCTGGCAGATCATGTCTTGTTGTACTCCCAAGTTCAGTAAAGAGACTGCATACATTGGACTATCACTGTGGTGTCCATTTTAAGATCTTCAAAGGCGTACTGGTGTGAAGACCCCCCAAAAGGCTTTGAGGACCCAGCTACCCATCTTTGTAATCCAGTTTTGCTTGTCCCTCTTTTTATGAAATGCTTCCAGGTATTTTTGCATGGATACCAGTTACATTTGACCAATCTATGCAATGGATCCAAATTAGGAGAGGTGATTCAACTTGGTGACCAAGAAGTTTCCCAGCTTTGCAGCCTGCCAAGGGAGAAACTGGATGCTGCAGAACAAGTACTTCGTTCCAACATGGACGTCCTGAAGCCGATCCTGGTAGGTAGAATTACTGTGTGGAGAAGCTTCAAGCACTAATGCTTTTTGGCCTGTGCAATTTTTGCCTGGACAACATGACTTTGTTTTTGTAGTCATAGGACTGGCTGGAAGATTGTAATATAATTTAGTTCAAAGACTTTCTGACTGTTCTTTCAAATTTTTGGATGTGGCTCGGAGTCCAAGCCTAAGGTCTCTTGTGCTTGTTTTAATCAGAGAAGGCCTGACGTTTTGTTTTTTGTTTTTTGTTTTTTGTGGGGGTGTGTGTGTTATCTATATCTTAATTACAAGTAAGATTTCATTTGAAGAATTACCCTAATTAAAAAAAAAAAAAAGGAGGCTCAAAACCACTGATGGAAAAAAGCCCATCAGGAAAAGAGACACTGTGGACCGCCACAGTGGAAAAACTGCTATTGGATGGGAGCTTACCCAATAATTAGCTTAATCAGTGACAGAAAAGTGTTCAAAGAAAAAAATATCCCAAGAAAAGTTTGATCAGCCTAGGAAACAATAGAGAAGCAAACCATGAGACTAGACATTTTTTCTTACCCAAAGAATATGGATGAGCCTGAGCATTTTGGTCATTGGATTGTTGTGCATAGTTCTAGAATACGTATATTTCTCTGGGTTTTCTGACACCTTTGGTGAAATGGCTCAAAGTGGCCCTCCAACAATATCATTTAACATTCAGTGTTCTGGTTTTCTGTTCACCAGATAGCTCTCTGATTTCCAGCAGTTTCTCTTAAAACCAGAAAGAGAAAGAACCCTGGAGGAAAGATGTGCCTGGAAAGATGTGTTCTTTGTTGCAATCAAAGGAAATTGGAATCCTCTGGAACCTTATGTAACATAATTTCCTCACAGAAAGATGGGGTCTAAGTATGTCCAGTTTCTGGACTGTGTGACTGGATCATACCTAGAATGTGACCTTAGTTTTATATTCTTGATAAGTTTTATACTCTTTATACTCTTGACTGAACATCAAGAAGTTCTTGGATCCTGCTTGATTCTCTGATATTGGAGCTTTGCAGCTTCTGTCTGAGGTGACGTTGGCAGTAATACTATCTGTGTGAGTTCTTAGATGCTATCAGGGCAATCTTCCTGGTGAACATGACTGTGTGTGTGAAGGGCTTAGGCCTAATGCTTTAAGATCTGCTTTTTAAAATTATTCCAGAAAAGAATTTTCTGTTTTAATTTTAAAAAAAATAGTGAGTGCTTTGTTCAGTGCCCTGTGATTGTGTCAGTTAATGTTTCTATATTATAATTTCAAGTAATTCTTGAGTACTGCTTCCATGGGCATTGATTGTGGACCCAAGTAAAATGAAATCCTTGACAACTTCAGTATTTTCTCCATTTATCATGATGTTGCTTATCTGTCCAGTTGTGAGGATTTTTGTTTTATGTTGAGGTGTCATCTGTACCGAAGGCTGTAGCCTTTGATCTTCATCAGTAAGTGCTTCAAGTCCTCTTTGCTTTCAGCAAGCAGTGTTGTGTCGTGTGCATATCAGAGGTTGTTAATGAGTCTTCCTCCAATCCTGACGCCATGTTCTTATTCCTGTAGTCCAGCTTCTCGGATTATTTGTTCAGCATACAGATTGAGTAAGTATGGTGGAAAGATACAACCTGACACACACCTTTCCTGACTTCAAACCATGTAGTATCCCCTTGTTCTGTTGGAACGATTGCCTCTTGGTTTATTACGGGTTCCTCATGGGCACAATTAAGTGTTCTGGAATTCCTGTTCTTTGGAATGTTACCCATAATTTGTTGTGATCCATACAGTCAAATGCCTTTGCATAGTCAGTACAACACAGGTAAACATTTTTATTGTATTCTCTGCTTTCAGCCAAGACCTGTCTGACATCAGCAGTGATATCCCTTGTTCCATGTTCTTTTCTGAATCCGGCTTGAACTTCTGGCAGTTTCCTGTCTATGTAGTGCTGCAACTGCTTTTGAATGACCTTCAGCAAAAGTTTACCTGTGTGTCATATTAATGATATTTTTCGATAATTACCAAATTCTGTTGGATCACCTTTCTTTGGAATGGGCAGAAATATGCATTTCTTCCAGGTGGTTGGCAAGGTAGCTGTCTTCCAAATTTCTTGGCATAGACATGTGAGCACTTCCAGTGCTGCATCTGTTTGTTGAAACATCTCAATTGATACTCTGTCAGTTCCTGGAGGCTTGTTTTTCACCAGTGCCTTTAGTGCAGCTTGGACTTCTTCCTTCAGTACCATTGGTTCTTGATCATATGCTACCTCCTGAAATGGTTGAACGTCAACCAGTTCTTTTTGGTACAGTGACTCTCTGTATTCCCTCCATCTTCTTTTGATACTTCCTGCGTCCTTCAATATTTTGCCCGTAGAATCCTTTAGTACTGCAACTCAAGGCTTGAATTTTTTCTTCAGTTCTTTCAGCTTGAGAAATGCCGAGCGTGTTCTTCCCTTTCAGTTTTTCAACTCCAGGTCTTTACACATGTCATTGTAATACTTTACTTTGGTCTTCTTGAGCATCCCTTTGAAATCTTTTGTTCAGCTCTTTACTTCATCATTTCTTCCTTTCGCTTTAGCTATTCTATGTTCAACAGCAAGCTTCAGAATCTCTTGTGGCATCCATTTTGGTCTTTTCTTTCTTTCGTGTCTTTTCAGTGACCTTTTGCTTTCCTCATGTATGATGTCCTTGATGTCATTCCACAACTCATCTGGTCTTCAGTCATTAGTGTTCATTGCATCGCATCTATTGAGATGGTCTCCAAATTCAGGTAGGATATATTGAAGGTCGTGCTTTGACTCTCATGGGCTTGTAATTTTCTTCAGTTTCAGCTTCAACTTGTATATGAGCAATTGATGGTCTGTTCCACAGTCTGGCCCTTGGCCTTGTTCTGACTGATGATATTGTGCTTTTCCATTATCTCTTTCCACAGATGTAGTCAGTTTGATTCCTATGTATTCCATCTGGTGAGGTCCATGTGTATAGTCCCCATTTCTGTTGTTGAAAAAAGATATTTGCAGTGAAGAAGTCATTGGTCTTGCAAAATTCTATCATGTGATCTCTGGCATTGTTTCTATCACCAAGGCCATATTTTCCAACCACTTTTCCCTCTTTTTTGTTTCCAACTTTCACCTTCCAATTACCAGTAATTATCATGCATCTTGATTGCATGTTATGTCAATTTCAGATTACAGAAGTTGGTAAAAGTCTTCAATTTCTTCATCTTTGGTATTAGTGGTTGGTGCATAAATTTGAATAATAGTTGTATTAACTGGTCACCTTGGAGGCGTATGGATATTATCCTATCACTGACAGTGTTGTACTTCAGGATGGATCTTGAAGTGTTCTTTTTGACAACGAATGCAACGTCATTCCTCTTCAGTTTGTCATTCCCAGCATAGTAGACTGTATGATTGTCTGATTCAAAAGGCCAATCCCCTGCTACTTGGTTGAAATTCCAACATTTGGCTATGGTAGACAGGTGTGACATGTGACATCATTGCACATGGGCTGTTGATTGCACCATGAATTGCAACAGGAGCAGCAACATTGTGGGAAGAGAAACTGTCAGTATGTTTTTCTGTACCGAATGTGTATTTTCAAGAGAGACATATTTTGAAATTTTCTCATTATTTTGGTGTGGGTGTTTCCCCATTTTTCAGCCAAAGGTATCCTGACTCCTTCTCTTTGATCTCCTTCAGTCTCCCGATGACCTTTGGACAGCAACATTTTGACCACATGAGGGAAATTGTGGCAGAGTGGAAAAGGCATGGGTTTGGGATCAGCTGGATTGGGGTTCAAGTTCTGCTTCAGGATTTATCAGCTGTGTGACTTTGGATAAATTGTTAAGCCTCTGTAAGCCTCAGGATCCTATTTTACATACAGATAATATATTCTGTTGTATGTTGTGAGGATTATTGATCATGTATGTTAGAAGCCTAGCATGGAATCTGTCTGGTACATATTAGATTCTCAATAAATAGAAGTAATAATTTAATTGATATGAGTAATATAAATTATATACTGAAAACCATTACTTTCAAGATAGAAGTTTTCTTCGGGAGATCAGTGTTAGGAATCAAGAGTCATACCAAAGAAAGTGGTTCTGAAGAACATTTCAATAAAAAATTACATTATTTGTTCAAATATTGCCAGGGCCTCTTACCCTGTTGTTTCTTATTTATATCTATGCCTCAGTCCATAACTTGTGTGAAGATTAACACTGGATGTCAGAATGTTATTGCATCTTTAAAGTTCTCTGGGATTAATAGCGGTTTCCATTAGGCATTCTGTTTTTCACTTAAAAATTTATTCATTCATTGAACAATATTTACCATATTTTTACGCAAATGACTTGCACCTTCTACATCTGTTTGCCAACTGCGCCCTCCCAAACCTCGAGGTATTTTCATAAGTGCCACTTTGCCAATTCGTTTTACATATCAGTGTAAAAAAAATTAGGATAGTGTGCTTACGAAAATAGCTCACGGGGGGAGGGCGCTGTTGGCAAGCAAACATGGAAGGTGTGTGTTATTTGCGCACAGTACAGTATTGAGTGCTTATTGTGTGTCAGGTATGTTCTAGGAGCTGGATTCAACTGAAGTCCTCAAATAGATGGCCTTTTAATGAGTGCAAGGATAGGTTGATAGATGAAATACTATCTCTAGGAAAAAAACACTTGATTTGGAGGGAGACTCATGTTACTTAGTGTTCACAGCATTTAGATAGTTGAAATAATACCCTCTAGCAGGAAGTCGGGGCCATTTGGCAGTGACCTTTAATGTCTCACTGCTCAGCAGGGTGATTTGGCTGAACTGGATGGCTGGGCAGGTGGACTTGCCCTCACTCTCCCTGCAAGTTCTTCCTGAAGCAGTACACACCTTCTCAGAGAGAGGAGGGAAGTCTGTGGTATCTCTCTGCTGCTCTCCAATCTGTTTTGTACTGTAGAATGGAGCCTTAATAACAGATCAGCAAATTTAGGCCAAAAGAATTAAATTGTTTCTGTCTCCAGGGTC